AAGTCTGGAGAAAGAGTACTGCTTTACAAGGCCCTTGGCATCCAGGCTTTAGTTTCTAGCAGAGAAGCGGGATTGCTGTGTGCTGCCGTGTATGTGACACCCACAGTTCATAAAAACCTTTCAGTGGCCCCTGTCGGGGGGGGAGATCTTCTTCTTCCAAAGGTCACTGAAGTAAGATTTAATTCCTTGGAGGCTTATTTCTGTATAATGGTGGACTGACATAGACCTTTGCAAACAATTTCTTTATAACAAATCTTYCAACTTTGCCTACAAGGAGATCTTTTTCAGATGGACAAAATAGAAAAGACATAATAAAACTTCTATTTAAAATCTGAATTAGAAGAAGTAATTAGACTTTGTGGTGGTACAGTAGGCATAGAAACACGTGGGATCCTACCTTTGGCTCCATTCGTAAGAAATTGAAAAATAACTAGAGAAGGCGATGKGAAATCTGTGTGTCAGAACATCTAGCACGATCTAATTAATAACAGACCTGGACTACACAAAGAGAAAGCTGAAGCTACTGAAATTTATTCACCATGGCTGATCTCAATTGCAAAAGCTGGTGGGTGAGTCGAAGGGATGCATGAAACAGCTAAATTAAGGAGCCTGGATTTCCATACCAAGTATTGCAGGTTAAAAGAATGATGTGCTGAGTCAAAACGGTTGAACAGGTCTGGATTTAAAACTGTAGAAGTTGAGCTTATGAAGACCTATATTTTTGTTTGGTTAACTTTGTATCAGACAGGAGTGACTGTTTCGGGCATAATTGTCAAAYAGGTGAGAGGCTGACAAATACGTTGATAGAATTGCGTTACCATTTCCAGGTAGTAAAAGCTGCTGTCTGCCATATCTTGCATGGAAGTTCAGTCTGTATCTCTGGACAACATGACATTTACATTTCAGCAAATGAAATTTCAGTGCATACCTTTTATCTTTAACTTTTTTGTTGGAGATGACTTCTTGTGTTTGCTTTTTTGGAGGCTTTTTTAATTAACCCCTATATAGGTTTAGAGTATTTGCTGGATGTGTTAAGACAAATTTCAACAGCATTGCTATCCCATTCAAAAGTGGAAATTGTTGAGTAATTCTCTTCTGAACTAACTTTCGAAATAAAACCTAGAAAATAAAATGCTGTCATTTAGGATGACTATAAGAATGCTTGGCAACCAGCTAAATATCAACATAAACTTGCTCTCTCTGGCAAAATATATCCAGGTTAACCTTCCCAGAATGAGATGGGGAGTTGTGCTGACCTATACTGCCCCATTGTACCAGATGGTACCGTATGGAAGTTACACTGATCCTTTGACTCTGTTGATTTCTAATTAGGTTTCTAGTAATTAATATAGTTTGCAGGCCTTGCGTGAACTCTGCAGATTACCCATTCATGTAAATGATTAACTGAAATGAAAGGGGATTACTCCTGGCATAAGTTCAACCAAAAAAAAAAAAATTTCCAGCCCTGAAAAGCTGCTGCAACAGACTAGCAGATTGCAATAGAGAATGAAATATTTAACTTATATTTGTGTTGTTATTTCATTTAGGAGTTACCTCATATCAGAGCACTAGTTTTGTACGATGCATCTTATAATCATGCGTTTTAGAAAATTAGAAACTTCAGCAATTCAAAATGCATGAAATTCAGCATGAAATTGTGATTGGCAAAATCCACTCATTGCTCTTATTTTGTAGTAGATAAGGTAGATTCTGCCTCGAGGAGAAGAGCAGTTGAGAACTGTGCAGTTGATGGTTATTGTGTGTGCTGCTCCATGYGAGGATGGGATGCCCAAAGCTCCAACCCATCTGCGGCAACAAGGACCATCCTACGGCCCTGACGAGCGCGGCTTCGTGCAGAACCCTCCTCTGCCTGCTGGCACCACAGGGTCATAACTTAACTGTTTCTTATGCTTTGAAGTGTAAAAACACTGTGAAATATCAAAATCTCTCTCAGTCCTTCTGCATGAAAAGTCTCCCTGAGTTTAAGGGAACCATTCAAGGTTGCTGGGAGGAATGTGTGTCTGTGAACCCAAGGCTTTAGCTCCTGGGCTTGTATGTTCTCAGTGCCTCTTCTCATCTCTTCTGGATCACTCCAAGGTTATATGTACATAGTGAATGAGGGACTGGCTTTAGTTTTCATAACACAGTGAAACTTGTTTTAAACAACTGCCTCGGTTGCTACTGAGGGCAGATTGTCTATTTAAATAAGTAGGTCAAATATTTATTTTGTGGGAAATGATGAGGATACTTGGAGACTTTGGACCGAATTCAGTTTTCAGGCATGTAGGACAGTCTGGAATGAACAGGGAACAGTGAAGTCTTAATGTTGAACAAAGTTTCTGAGAATATAAGGAAAAAGTCTTTGTGCAGATGGCTCTGCGCTGCTGAGCTCCACCTGGAAGTCCAGGAGTGTTTCCCAACCAAACCTTTTTTGCAGGACACCTGTAGCTTGTCCCTGGGCAGGGGACCTTCCAGCCCTCCTACTCTTCTTCCCTGAAAGATTTGGTCTGGCCCTAAAGCTGATGCCTACTGCTCTGTGAATGGCCTTGGTGTAAATACAGTCAATGTGAGTGGCTGGCACAGGTACTGCGGGGCCAGCAGCTCGCCACGAGTGCCAGCTACAGGTGTCTCAGTCCTTCAGGCAACGCTGAATTTTGGTGTATTTGTTGTGATGGTTCAGAAGTGGGTCAGAGCAGAAGAGGGAAGGGAAGGGACAGAGCAGGAGAGCTGAGAGAAGGGGGCTCTCCYGAGAAGGGCTTCATCCTCCCGCTTGTGCAGTGGGGCAGGCAAAAACACTCCTGCTGGAGGAGCAGGCCGCTCTCCCACCCGCTCCAGTGGGTGTATSCTGAGCCCTTCCTCACGCAGCCTCGCGACAGGCAGCCCAGCCCGGCCCTGGCAACGCTGGCAGTGCGGGATGCAGAATTTGCCCTTCCCCAGCAACCTTGGCCCAAGCAGCCCTAGGCAGCCGGACAGAAGCCCAGCAAGCAGGAACCCCGCCCCGGGCAATGACAGTCTACAGAATGGGGAAGCAGAGCAGCAGAGAAGTGTGCCAAGGGGAAAATGAGTAACGTGGTAGTGACTCAKTCTGCTTTTCCTATGGAAAAGCTCTGGAAAAGTTTCTTTTGCTCCCTGCTGAACGTTAACAGGAGCTTTGCTGCTGCCTCCCTTGGGTGGGAGCAAAGCCGAGGAAGGGAATCGTCTCAGGTGGGAGCAAACAAGTGTCACTGCGTTACCACATGGCACAGCACCACAGTATGAACCCCCAGCAGATAAATACCCTGCTTCCTACATTCTGTGTTAATATTGGGCCAAGCGCCTGCCTGGCACAGCTGCAGTGACTGTACTACAGCAAGGGAGGACTTGGACCAGCATATTTAGGTTCTGCGTTATTTAAACCAGATGCTTTGGGAGGCTGTTTTTCTTTAATGGATAATAAGAACCATTGAAAACAGAGTTGTTACTTTGCTTGGGTTTCATTGAAAGAGACACTACTAAAGGGAGAGGAAATCCCCAAAATGATACTCGGTGATTAAATCCATAGAATATAGGATTTCCATGTTTGCAAATCCTTTTTTTCAAATCAACTTGTAGCACTAATCCTCTAATGGCATTATTTCTTTGGAATATATGCCAGATTAAAGAGTCACAATGAGGCAAAGTACAAAAATCCACATTAATCTCTCATCAGTGGATGCTGTGTGGGATGCAACTTTAACTGTATTGTTCCAAAATTGGTTCTGTTCCCATCCTCACCCCAGGTCTACCCAGAAGGAAGAGCTGATAGATATAAACAAGTGTGACACTGAGAACTTGGCAGATGGTCACAAGCCATTTAACTGCACAGAAAGGGGAAGGTGCTTATTTTTTTTTTAAATTGCAATAGCTAAGCTTGTCCTGTGCTGTGCACAGCATGCTGCAAATGTGGACACCCAGCTCATGTCTGCAGCCTAGCACAGCCTCCCTGCTGCAGGCCCCAGGCTTTTCTTTGGGGTAACCCAAAGCTGGGGTAACCCAACTGCCCTCTCTTTCTGCTTGGTGACTGTAAGCACCAAGATTTGCTTTCTAGGAAGAGGAGACCAGGCCACTCTGAAACGATGTTTCCCTTCGCACGGAATTGCAGGGTTGTGGTCATGGTGCCAGGAGGTATTTTCACTCTCATTCAACAGCCTGAAGTAGAGAAAGAATTTCTGAATGGGCCACACATCACCTAGCACACTGATTATAGAGCATTCAGGTTAGCCCACTCTGACCACTTTAATCAGTGCTTAGGGATTTTCCTGCTTKCAGGGAGCGGAGATTACCAGATACTGCCCTCCCTCATCTCATTGAGCTCTGGTGGGCATCGAGCACCTCAGGCCAACAGAAGCTGGCATGTGTTCCCAAACGGGGATCTCCTTCTTTCCATTTCAACCCTARCTATCAACAAGCACAACATTAATATATTTAAACTAGAAATCCAAACATTTCACCATCATGGAAAACATACATACAGAGCTACAGGCTTACAGAGCTAAAGCAGAAAAAAAAGTTACCATGAAGTCTGATATGTTTCTATGATGTATAAATTTTATGATTGTATCGCAGTAATAAATCACCCTGCTGCCAACAAGGAGATTGTGCCCAAATAACAGAGAGAGAGAGAGAGAGAGGCCTCTCTGCCCTATCTCCTGGTTCTCTGAGATGAGCAGCAGCAGGTCCCGTGGTTTCTCTGTGCGCTGTGAACAACCTGCTGACACACACAGAGCATTGCTCAGCCTGGCTCCTATGGACAAAAGGGGTGGGAAAACAAAGAGCTTGTTCTTCAGGTAGTCGGGAAACCTGATCTGAAGGTGACTCAGCCCTTTCCAGCACCAGCTGTTTCAGGGCCCTGCAAGGGCTGGAGTGCAGCACCTGAGCTGCAGCTTCCTGATTTCTCCCTCGTTGTGCTCTAAGTGGAGACGTGATCAGAGCAGTGAGTGGATTTCTCCAGCCCTCCCAGGAAAGAGGGGCTAGGGAGAGCAAACTGTTCGGGGAGGCAGAACTGAGAGAATTTGGGAAGCCTTCTGTGCACAGCTGCTGCTAACAAATGAAGACAGAAACTCCCTTGAAAGAAGAGTGCATGGAAAATCCTGCTAGGGAAAGAAGCGAGGTTCATTTGTATGTCCTAGCTCGCCTCTCATGCAAGCCCTGAGTGTGAAACACATCCGCAAGGGTAACAATGGACAAGACAGGTATGTTTTCTTGCCTGTTTAAAGTAATACAAAATGGCATTGCTTTACGGTCAGTAAATGTGCACAAACACCTACGCACGTTGCTTTGTGTGGCTTTTGTACTTTGCTCGTGAGACATATGGCTGTGACAGGCTAAGAGCAAGACTTAAAACAGTGCAGTAACTCTCYGTGTGGGCTCTTGTGGGCCCTTGTGTCAGGCAACCTGCTATATGAAAGCAATATATATGTATATAAATACCTATGGATGCCTGTGCATGTGTCTGTATATGTACACTCCTACGCTTCATTTTGACATTTGGTATAACAACATGAAAACAGTCTGTGAAATTCATAGGGGTTCTGATACTATTCTGCACATATGTTTTGCTTATGAGGAAAGTTGTTGCTGGTGACAGTATTTGTAACAGTCTGATATTCAAGCGAGCAAATGCATATGTTCTGTGGATGGCAGCGGATTGTGCATGGGCTTCTGTGTGCAGGTCTGTACTAAAGAGGGGGACATGAGCCCAGAGGTTTGGTTTGGAGCTCTGGAGTTCAGGGATCGAGACCTGAGTTCCCAGGAATCCTGTCTGTGAGCACAAGTCATACCCTCTGCAGTCAATGGCAAATAGTAAGACATGACACATATCTCTTGCACCTAGCCATTGCAAAGTGGAAATAATTGCATGTCTGCTTAATCAGTGTGACTGATTGCCCAGTTAAAAGCCTGTGTGTGTGCAAATGCTAGAATTAAAACTGAAGATTAATTCAGAGAAAAATAAAGCAGTTTTGGTCACTAGGCAATATATGCTAGTGCAGTATGAACAGCAATAAGCAAGGAACCTATAAGTTGTTATGAAGCTGGACTGACATTTGCCTGAGAATTAGTCACTGAAGTTGAGGTCATTGTAGTGTTACACTGTTCCAAATAGGCTGAGGGGCTTGTTTTCTTCCAGCATTGGCACGCTATGGGTGCTTCTAGCTTCAGTAGGCAGTTGTTTCCTTCACTATCTCTTCAGTTCTGCTGTCAGGTTGATGGGGTTTCCTTTGCATGTAAGCTTGTTCCCTCCTGAGCTGGGGAGCATGTGACACTGGTAAGGGAGTCCTTGTCCCTTTCTCAAGCACCTCCTCCTCTTGTCTTCCTGGCCGCTGGGCAAGTCTTTGCATGAAGAACCACATGAAGAATGTCTCAGCCTGACTGCTGTGGTTTGGCCACAAGAACATGCCCTGAACTTGGAGATCAAGTGACGGGGGAGCCACAGGTTGGCTCTGCAACACTCGGGGACTGGAGGTGGCATTAGGAACAGTCTGCATTAACAGGGCACAGAGAGAGATACTTGTGCCCTTGAGGACAAGGCCCCCCGAGTCTGCAGTGCACATACAGAGTGTTACCAGGTCCTCTTGAAGGAGCAGAAGTGAGTTTAGAGTCTGGCCCACTAAATAGTGCTTTACTGGTGTGTGAAGGAAAGGTAGGAAATTCTCTGTGTGCCTGACATTATAAAATAGGATAAACAAGAATACTAAAAAAATCCTCTCATATCTGCTGATCTCTTGAAAGATGATGCGCAGATCTGCCAAGATAAGTRTGAAGAGGATATCCCGAAGATTTCCCCCTTTGACTTTGTTAGAAAACAGTTCCAAGGGAAGAAATCTTCTGGAAAAAGAAAAGRGCAGCCTTCAGGCATCAGAMAATTCTTCGGGGGCTTTGACTTTGGGAAATTGGAAGCCAAGGAGAGAAGGGGGACTGAAGAAGTGGAAATAAACAACTCTAGAGCTGATGATCAGAATGAGAAGGAACATCTCRCTATAGAAGGTAATGCTGATACAGTAAAGAAATAGATGCACGTGTGTATATATATCCTAATTTCATTTGCTTTCCTCCATAGCCAAAGTGCTGTATTTCGTTAGCTTGGGCTTCTCCTTTATCCATTACTTGCTTCTGATCAGAATATTGCCAAGGATGTGCTCCCTAGTTTGACAACCAGCAAAGAATAAATGGGATCCAGTTGCTAAGGTGGGGCAGAGTTTTTGTGTGACCTCCCCCTAGAGCTCTGCTGGGTGACACCAGCGCTGCATCAGCTCCGTAGTCACAGAGCTGATTGCAAACCTGGAGCTCCAAGCAGTAGCTTGGCTTGTTTATGGTTAAGGGCCATCCACCCTGCTGCTAAAGCAGTSTGAAGGCAGCAAGAACAGATGTTTCCCACCACTTGTCACTGGTTAGGGGGAGGGGAAGGGAGTGGGAATTCATTATATGTGCTATTTTGTGCTCACAGGAATACTTTCTACCTCCACACCAGAGAAAATGAGGCTATTTTTATAAAGGTGCTGGGATTTGAGGTTTAGAGCCTCATCCTTTGAGAGTTTGGGGTAAGAGCAGGCTGTTCTTCTGAGCAGAGATGACTGTCCTGTGCAGTTTTTGACTGCTCACTTTTTGGCTATAGGTATTAGRTGATATTAGTGGAAGACAGTTTTGATTCACCAGCCAAGGGGTTTAGAGAGGAATGTAAACAATTTTCCTTGCTGTGAAAACTGCATTGAAAAAGAAGCTAAATGTGAGTGGCTTTGCAAAGCCAAGCACAGCAGCACTGCCTTAAGCAGAAAATGTAGGAAAATGGAAACAGGCTGTCATGGAAGAAGGAGCAGGATCACTGTACAGAATCACAGCGCTGCTCGGTCCTAACTAGTCACATGTAGTCTGTATTGCAGCAGAACAAGAAGGACACAGAGTTGGTTAAATGTCTCTCTGTCATCCAGGCCACCTGCAGCCCAGAACTTTGAGAATTCTGTGTGCAAATGGCTGCACTTATTGCACAAACACCCAAAGCTGCTGCTGTAAACTAGCTTGAAGATGTGCAGCAGGAGATTCTTCTGTCATTGAGCATCAGCAGCTTTGTAGTGATTTAATCTGCAGTGGTCTTATCACGCAGGATATTGATCCACTTTGATGTGGTCCTCTGAATCAAAAATTCAGAGCCATGTTTACTGATGAGTTTAGGTTATTTTCTGAAATCTTCAGCTGACATCCGCAGACAAGGTTTTATGCTGTTAGTTGCAGAGGTGACCAGAGCCCTGTTTCTCTGTTACACAGATGGACTTTCACATCTTATTTCTAAACCAGAGTCACCGTCTGGTAAGCAGAGATTTAACCAATTCATGCAGAAGCTGGGAAAGAAACCCAACAGCAAGAATCTGGATCTAAATAATTGTGCTTTAAGTGCAACAGATGTAACAGAGCTAGGTAAATACACATTTTGTTCATCTATACACTTAATGTCTTTTTGTATTTCCTATTTGCCTATTCATTCATTCCCTCACTTCTTTGGCTTTTATTTCTTTGATCTCAGTCCTGAGACTTCTACTMAACATCTCATCTGGTGGTCCAGCTCCTGAGAAATGTTCCTTAATGAATTAGGTCCTTGTGTAGGTCTGTGAAGAGGCAATGTCTTTATGCTCCAACTACGGATAACATGACATAACTATTTTTCTTTTTTTAATAGCTTCTTTACTGCCATTTCTTCCAAAGCTGGACGAGATCAGCCTCTCCTGGAATGGTGGTGTTGGAGGGTCTTTGAAAGCTCTCACTACCCAGCTCCATCATGTGAACCTATTAAAAGTTCTTCGACTTAGCAGCTGCAGGCTGACGGCTGARGATGTCACTTCCTTAGGTACAGGCTGGCATGTACATTTATTTTCTGACTGCATGGGTTAATGTAGTTGATCTCGTTGTTTCCATTATTTTTATGCCTACTGGTTACTGGACAATGTAATCTCCCAGCTGTAAAGTGATRGTAAGTACTTGGCTTTATGAGTAATCTTGTACCTGTGAGTAGCTCTGGTGAGGTCGTCGTTTGGGACATAAAGCTTTCACAGGCAGGAGGGAGCACAATTCTGTTCTGAATGGGAAAACGTTCTTTCCTGCAAATGGATTAGTATTTTGTGAACTAGCTTTCAAATATCCAACAGTAGACAGAAGAACTGAAAGACAATTATTTAATCATGATAGGGTCAGCTTAGGTAGGTATTCATGCTGTAGGGGTGGATGCAGTGCTCATCACACAAAATTTGGTAAGTTGAGATCTTCTAGAGGAAACTAAAAGCCTAGGAAGCTTTTTTTCCTCCCCCCAAGTCTGAGAGAAGATTATTTCTCTGCTTGTGTCTTTGTCTGGAGTGTCTGCAAACAAAGTATGAGATCTGCAGGTTTTTAAGGTGGTGTTATGAGCTCAAGTCCTCCTGCTGAGTCATTTACCACTGGGCCTGGAGTTTACTGCTGGGGTGGGTCTCTGATATGTGTCTAGAAAATGAACAAACTCAGTGAACTAGATATTCTGAAAAACTTCTGCTTATTTTGCAATCTGAGTTACAAACTAGTCTGAATTAGAAAGGTGGTTTTTATGTAATTTTTTATTTTTTTATGTTATTCAGCTTCAGCCTTTTTTCAAGAGAGGTTCAGGAATAAAATGGCATATGTGGTCATAACCCAGAAGTGGCTCGTATGGTCTGCTGTGGAGGAAAATCTATCTCTAAAAAGGCTGGTGAAAATAATTGGTCTCTTTATGATGAGGGTCAAATCTATGTTTAATTTTCTGTGAGGTGTTTGCATACTTATCTTTTTTTCAAGGTCTTTTCTAGCAGTTGTCAGCTTGYTTTTTTTTGGCTGCAATTTTGAGGAATATGTGTGTTTGGTAATAAGGTATTTAGAGCAGTAGTGTCTGCTTGACGATGCCCATATCAGTCTGTGGAAATGCAGGCGTTTGTGGACTCAGTGGGTACATTCTGCTCAGAAAATAATGACCTCCAATATAGTCATCATATCAGCCTGCCCTATGTAATTGCTCTGAGCAGGTGCTGTGAGAGGTGATAGGAAAACCATTCCTCAAGTTATATCCCTTTATTTATCTTCTGGGTGGAAAATGTGTCTGGAATGCTAGTCCTCATATCAAATAGAAACAGGCAATACTCCAGAGGTAAAAACACTCAGGTAGAGCATTGTTCTGAGTTCTGGATTGAGGCAATTATTTAAAATAAAAGCAAACAAACAAAAACAGATAAAATCTAAGACATGTCCCTTTCAAACCTGGAAAGGGACATGTGCCTTTCTCCACTGACAGCTAATTATTTATAAAACTTTTATCAAGAATTAATTCTGAAAACACTCAGACACAAAAGAATTTTCTTGTTAAAATGTAAACCAATTATTAGGCTGATGACAAGGCTTTAGATCAAAGATTTGCTGTGTGACACTTTGAAATCGCATTTGCATACGGTCTAATTAATTGGTCTTTCTTGGAAACTAGTTTATGCAAATATCCATCTTCCTCTCCCCTCAGCAAAGGAATTTAGGAAGCCAGATCTTGCAGTGCGATATTAGTATTCCAAAGAGTGTTAAAGCAGTTCAATACCAGGAGCATCAAGGCTGAAAAAGGCTAATTTTCCTGAATATACTCAAAATTGGTGCTGTGTTCCTTGAAAATCATAGGAAAGATAGTCTGGTTCAACACAGTGCTCCATTTCCTTGATTCCTTATGAACTGAGTCAGATTTCTGTTAGATTTTTAAAGTTTAAGATGTGGCTATGAGAAGACTTCTTTCATTCTGTGCAAAATAGCCTGTGTATACCCTGCAAAGGTCTGCTAAATAAAGACAAGCACAATTATACAGGAGAGTAAATTCAGACTTGCCATTTGTATTACCTCCCTATGGAATAGGCTTTCTGGGTCTTCACTCAGGTCTACGGTGATGGTCAAACAATCCGATGGATATTTGGGAACCTGCATAAGTTTAAGGGCTGTGTGTGCTGTGACAATCATTTGTGATCTATATTGCACCCATTAGACAAGGTGAGAATGTATACAACATCCCTGCAGTAGCAACAATTCGTGGCATATACCAGTTTTTCTAATGACAGATACAAAATGTAATGTTTCAACAAATAAATGGTTAACTTTCTCCTTTCATATTTTCTAAAACTGTATTTTTATCTTGTACAGAAATTGGTAGGTAGAATGAATCACCTTAGACTTCTTTTATATATAGGAGAAGCATTTGAAGTTGCTCCTCAGCTTGAAGAACTGGATTTATCGTGGAACAGTAACATAGGTGGAAAACTATCACTGCTGACAAAAAAGCTCCAGAAAGGTTGCAAGATAAAAATTCTGAAAATTACAGATTGTAACCTGACGGCAAAGGATGGAGAATCCCTTGGTATGTGTATCCACACAGCTGACCTCAAATCCTGGCTTCACCAAAATGTAACTCATTTGACTCGGGTTATGGCCATATTACACCCAATATTGTTTGAAAGTGATTTAACTTCACACTCTGCGTTATAACAGTGATTACCATGCAGTGTTGGTATTTATTGCACTTTTTTTTTCCAAAGAAAAGCGAGTCTTTTTAATAGGATGAGGTAGGATTGAGAAGAACTAGATGTAAACTGCATTCTGGCTGGCTCAGTGGCCCAGGATTGCTGGATACGTTGAGACCTAGAACAAATTATGCAAGACAATTTCCAGAATGGATTGCCCAAAGTTAAATAGCTAAATCTGTTAGCCATAGGATGAAAAAGAAARGGTGAGGAATGGGAATTTGAATTGAGTTGGCAACCACTTTCCATCCCTCACTTGATCTCATCATATCTTAATCCTATGTGCTCCTTTGAACTGATTGTATACTTTTAAGAAGTTTTATCCCTACGAGAAGCCCCTGTTCATATTTCTGATCTCCAGATTAGAACATGAAGTCCTTTATTTTTAATAGTTTTTTTTTTCTCGTTCCATTTCTTTTTTGTATTCCTGCATTTTTTTTGTCACTGTCCTCACTCTGTCTTCATACATGTTTTTCACTGATTTTTCTGGCGTCCTATCCGGTCTTTGCTGTGTTTTTTGCGTTTTTTTTTCAATAAAACCGGAACTTGTTAAGTCTAAACCACACATATAGAGGCAAACCCAGCCTATCTCTTCCTKTTTGTCAGGGTGCTGTATTTTTTTCATGTTCCTCTGACTGTACCAGACAATTACACAATTACTAATTCTGATTTTCTTTTCTTCCTTCCCAGCTCAGATTCTAAATGTCATCTCAAACCTTGAAGTGTTAGATCTGTCTATCAACAAAAACATTGGCTGCAGCATGAAGATTATTGCACAGGATCTGAAAAATGTGCCAGGCTTGAAAGAGTTAAACTTGCATATGTGTGGATTAAAGCAAAACGGCCTCCAGGGCTTAGGTTAGACTTTCCATTCAGAAAGACTTTCATTCTACATAAATGGTACATGTGGAACCCATTTAAGAGACACACCAAGGTGGTGTTTTGCTAATGTTTGGCTCTATTTATGGACAATAGTTCTTTGCTGTTTGAGGGTGGATAAAAGATGACAGAGACTTGCAGTTATCTTTCCTGAACTCAACCATGTGAAAGTCAGTGGGGAGGGTCACCCTTCACAACACTTATCTGGGACCCGTTTTAGGAAAGATGAACAGCTCTCTGCACATGCTTGTGCTCCCCAGGCAGGACACAGAAGAAGGTACAGACAAGCTAGCTAACTTGCAAAAAAGCAATCCCACCTGCAGAAGGGAATCCGAATTCACCATTATCACTTAATGAATGTCCAGTGAAGCCATATGAAACAGGGTTGTTATCTGCGTCTGTCCCAAGTGGAGATCTTATCCGTAAGACAAACTAGAGCAGGCTCTAATTAGCACCTCCAATAGTAATTTCTGCGAAAGGCTGAAGGTTGAATGGTTCTAGAAGGTGAACTATTCTGATCTGGTGGATGAGATAGCTTTGCCTTCAGCTGCTCCTTTGGAGAAGCATGGAGTTGCAAACTTTATGCCATTTATAGCTGTTGTGATTATACCCTGAAGCTTAGTCTGAAAGATTTGCTTTCAATACTTTGTGCAAACTTTGAGGTTAAAATAAATAAATGTTAAAGTCGTGACTTGTGCTATTATAACAGCCATGTTCACTTTTCCATTCCAGATGCTGCTTTACAGCACCTGCCAGAGCTGAGAAAATTAGACCTGTCATGTAACAAAGAGATTGGTGGTGGCTTTAAAGACTCAACAGCTCATTTGGCCAACTTGAAAAATCTTGAATTCCTTGATCTGCACCAGTGCTGTGTAACGGAAGAAGACATGACTATTTTGTGTAAGGATGTGTTCAAGAAATCCCTTAAGAATGCATGTTTCTGACTTCTGAAAATAGGCAGAAGACCCTCTGGACAACCTAGGCTGGCAGGTCTCAGCACTCTGGGGTAATGTTTTGGGGCAGTTCTGGAAGTGCAGTGAAAAGGATAGATTTCTTAACTAATGTAGAATGGTCCTATGGTCCTGTTCCTATCAAAGGAAGTCACAGAGTGGCTGATGCTTTGTAGAACTAAGCACCTGAAATCTGCCAGGGTTCAGCCCCGTGATGTAAATGTAGGAACTGCAACCAAGAACTGCTGTTGTTGAGCACCAGCTGCTTTGGAAATAACCAGGGAAATTTCCCCAGGTAAAGATCGACCTGGATCCAGAGGGTCCTTGTGCATGGAAATGTAGTTTCCCAAGGAGGGACCCTTAGTGAACTGTATCTAAAGTACAGAGTGATGTTGGAGATCTTTTAATGCTACTGCTCTCTGCTTTGTGAAGAAGCTGAGAACTGCAGGCTCCAGGCTGAATAGATCAAGCCGCTCATAACTACTAGTAGGAAGAAATACATATTTCCCCTTTAATTGCAGACTATTGATTTTCTGTGTACTTTCCATTATCACAGCTATTTGACATTGTCTTTCTTTCTTCTCTTTGCAAGACCATGACACAAAACATATATTGTCTGCATATTACTTTCCATTATATTAAAAAAGATAATTAGGTAATTTGAAAAACTGCTGATGAATCAATGGGAAACACTGACTGTTAGTAATGGCGATCATGATTTATTTTTAATTTCTTACACATAGTAAAACTAAGAGAGAATAACCATATTAATATACAGTAGCAGCGAAGACTTTGGAAATATATCCCCTGCTCATTTAATGAGAACTACTTGACCTTGAAAATTTCAACAGCAATGCCACATTCTGACACCCTTCCACACAATGCATAGTAACCAATTTCCTATATGCTTCTACTGGAAATGACAGGGGTATTTATAGAGTAAAATGTTATCCACTGTAAATTTGAGTGTCAAAACTTGGCCTTTGCATCAAATAAATACATAGTTACACATACTTTTTCTAGATCTGTGACTGCCTAACAAATATTTCATGTTTTCAAAGCCCAGGTGATACCTTTACTCTCCAATCTTCAAGAGCTGAATTTATCCTCGAATAAAAATGTAGGAGTCTCATCTGATCCTCTTCTCAGCAGGCTCAGATTTCTACCAAAGCTGAAGTGTGTGGCCATCAGCAATTGCTGTTTACAAGAAGAGTCCTTCTCATCACTAGGTAGGAATGATTTTAAGTGGGACAGAGCACTTCATTCTCTGTCAGCGGGACTCCAAAGAACCGTAGTCATATTATACTACAGGTCCTGAWTGAAGAAGTAAATGCCTTGCTCTTGATTCTGGTTGCCTTGTGAGAAAACCAGATTATAAGAGATAGCTGAGCACTGGGAATACTACAGGGCCAGCTGGAAAACCATTGTAAGTTTTCTGTCATTCTACCTGACTGGCTGAAGTCCTTTAGCTGACACTGAGCTTTCATAAATTGCCTAATTTTAGAATAAGAGGCAGCAGAATTTGATTTATGTTCATATTAAGTTTCATATTATGCAATTTGTATTATGCTGGAATTACAGTTTGATTGTAGCACTGTATTTGCAGCTTATTAAGGTAAAGTCTTGATTAACGTTTTTTCATTTCCCTAGAGGTAATAGTTTYAGTAGGAATTTCCTGTCTTTGAGTAAAGCATGAAGCAACAGAGGAATRGAAAAGTGACTGCAGTAACGGGGGAGAGACTGCATGGCCATGCAAAGCCAAGCTATGTTGGATCTACCACAGGATATTTAAATTCAGCTTCGTTTGACTGCTTATTGTGCTCTGGGGATTAGTGGCTACACTGGGCCTTTGATAAGGGTGCAYATGGCACTTAAAAGCTACATACAGAGAGATCTGTTAGTTACYGTGGATTGTGCAGTTGGTGTTTATTATTTTCAGTTTATTAGTTATATTGAAACTCACAGCAAAACTTAACTGCCTTCAGCAGAAGATTACTATATTTATGTCATTGCAACTATATAAGATTGTTGTCTTGGAAGTCAGTGTAAAAATACACAGTGCATTTCATAGTGAGTTCACAGCAAAAAATGCTATCATTAAATAAATATTAAATCGTTTTAACTCTATATATTAAATTGACTTGAGTGGGGTAAAGTCAGGCCAATAGCGTAGGCAGAAACGAGAAACCTCTTGAGAGATTCCTTAAAACTTGTTAAACAGGCTTTTGTCAGTGTTATATTCTTTAAAGAGTTCAAGAGATTTTTTTTTTTTTTTTTTTTTTTTTTTTTTGTCTGGCTCTTAAGATTAACTAAGTCTTTCTAAGCACAAGCCTGTTAGGAACCTATTTACAGGTGAATTGCCGGTCGCTGAGGTGTCTATTGAGGCCATGCTGTTTTCTCTTAGTAAGCAGAAGTTACTGGTCTTAATCTTTTCAGCTGAGGCTGCCCTTCACCTTCCTGAACTGGAGATATTAGACCTTTCTTGGAATAAGTGCGTTGGTGGGAACCTAAAGCTGCTTTTGGAAGTGCTAAAGCYTGCAACGGAGATTCAAGTGTTAAGACTGAGCAGCTGTAACTTGGTGGCCGAAGATTTGGCACTTCTAAGTACGTATAACATGGTATTTACTAGCAGTCAAGGAGCCAGGGTGTTTAAACCACGATTCTGAAGGGACTTGTTGCATGGACAGGGCAGATTCTTGCATAAATGAGATGAAAAGATGGAAAATGCAGCAGTATTTTTCCCAGAAAGAGATTTCATGTTGCTGAAGGTTGTATGTCATGTACCTGCAAAAATTGAAAAGGATAACATTTTTTTWAAATCAATTTAGCAGAGCCCTGCATATTAATATGAAAAGGTAGCATCCAAAAAAAATGTTGTGAGTCCATTATTTATTTCTAAATTTTAAAGCTGCCTTTAAGCATTTTTACTTTGTGCAGTTGCAGTTTTGGGCTTTGGCAGTTCACGAGGAAGGTGCAAGTTGACAGCCAGTAGTAGAGGCATTACCAGCTTTCAGTCTACTGGGTGCAACACTGGAGTCACGCAGCGATGGGAGAATTAAAACAGAAATGTTCTAGCTCAGTTCTTAGCAGCTGCTGAGAAATGCTGGAAAATGGAAACCCAATGAAAGAAAATATTCTAGGATGCTTTTAAAAATCTGATATCCTTGTGATTCTGTGGGCCCAACTCATGGTCTCTGAGTGTGGGAGGTTAGCAGGAGCTCTGTCATAGCTATTAAGGGTTGTAGTCTGAAGGGTGAGACTGAGATGCAACCTGCAAGATTTTGACTTTGCAAATGTCACCTTTGGTGGGTGGTTACTTTGCYGATTGTACATTAAATTCCCAGTTCTCTCGGGAAATTTAGGCCCACTACCTTCCCACAGCGCAGCTGGCTGTTGCAATTGTGTGTCCTCATCTAGTTTTGCTTTCCTATTTCTAAATCTCCCTACCAGACCTGCCAGCCTTTCTCAGGTGGCTCTGGATATACCCTCCCTCCAACCAACTGACAGGTTTTCAGGCTGCCACAAACCTGACACTTTTTAACCAGATGCTCGTGTTCCTTTTGACTTGCCCGTGCTTTAAATGTTGTACACACATTCCGTTGTGATAAAATACCCTTTCTGAGACCAATAGCAAGTGATTGGCACATTTTGTATTGCTAGGAGTTGAACCTTGCTATGTTTGAATGTTGAAAGTTTTTGAATAATATGATATTAAAATACCACTTTTTTGGGTAACCTTTTAAAGGAATTGATTGTCTGTTTTGGCTGTCATTTATTTCAGTGTTACTGGCACAGGATGGTCATCTAGCCAGATTACAGAAGCTGGACTTGAGCTATAACGACAACATCTCTGATGAAGGGTGGTCTGTCTTCTGTAAAGGTTTGTCAGTGTTCAAAGGACTGTCRGAGTTAGATATCAGTCTTCGCCCCTCGTCTTGCCGTGACTGTGGGATGTGGGTCGGTGAGTTGTTAGCAGCACTGACCAAGCTGCCAGCACTGGCGGAGCTGGGCATGCAAAGATGGGTCCTTTCAGAATCACAACGGGAACGACTGGAAAGCTTTAATCAAGACAACAAAAGAAGCATTCGCTTTGACTGGTGATGGAGTTCCAAGGCTCCTCACCCACACGTGAACACAGTATTTTATTTCTCTGATATTGAAAACTCTTCATTTTCGGTCATCTTTTTTTCTTGAGAGCTCTTGAAATAGTTCCAAAATTATATAAAACTGTTATTTAATCTTCCAAATACATGGATCCTTATATTTAACAACATATCCTTTCCTGATCTCTGAGCCACGCTCACATTGCTACGCTGAAACACTACATGGGCTGAATTTAGGTGTTGTGTGTGCTGCAATGTCTGATGTCAAAGGAGCAGTGAACGTTTCAGACGGYGGCAGCCCAGGTGGCCAGCGGAGATGAGCAGCTGTGCACTAACACATATGGGTGGGCAGTGTGAATATGAGTGAGTATAACAAAGGTGGCTTCTGTATTCAAATACTTGAATCCAATGTGTTTTACAATTTAGTCCCTTTTCCCTCAAAACTTCTGTCTCTTCATGAAAGTATTAAAACCACATAATGGAGAGTTTTGGAAACCATCCCGGCCACTCAGGATTATGTGTTAGTCCAGTAAGGGGAACACAAAGGGAGCCGTACTAGCTCTCCTCTGGCCCTTGATGCCTTCTGGTGGTATAAATGAGTCCTGGGTATGGAATCAGCATAAAAATCAAAGTGAGGGAGAGTTGACTGGTGTCTCTGTAGGCAAGGGAAGTGCTAGAGTACATTAAATAGAGCATGTCCTGGTATATTGGCGAGAATTCTGGATGCAGAGCATTCCATAAACATTCTGGATGAGGCTATGCAAAGATTTCAAGATACTTTTGGAGTCATCTTTYTTATATTGGATTGTTTCAGCCTTACACCTTTTGCACCATCTGTATTGACTCTTTAGTAAATGTATCATAAAGTCAAACTCTCAGGTTTACAGGCCTCATCTAGAGCATATCAAAGCCCATGGGAGTCCCCTTACTTACCTTCATGTTTTCTGCATTCAGGATTAATCCATTAACCTTAGTAACACCTTGTGAGGTAGACGGTGCTCTTATCCTTGCCTTAAAGATGGAAGAAATCAGCCTAGGGAGAAGCAAAGTCTGTTATTCAAAGCCCCAGGACAGCACCTGGCTAGGAGCAGCACCTTGCTGAGCCTAGGACCCATTAATGCAAGCACTGACTCAGGACATTTGAGTGTCTGTTTTCTTTATTAGATAATTTCTTTTAGGGGATTTTGTTAGATATGCTTAAACAAAGCTAAAATCTGGCATAATCACCCATGTCATAGAGCATGTCAGCCCACACGTGGATTCAGTGGCTGCAATGGGATTATTCATTGGTAAGATATTTTGGGAAGTAAAGATATTAGATCTGCCCACTGAGTGAGGAGTCTTAGAGAAATCCTGAGACAGCTTGAGGGATAAAGTACTGCTCAATTAGCCCTGAGCATGTCTACATGTTGCAGCAATCTTCTGGAGGAGAGACACAACCGGATCACTCAGTGGCACTCTCCGAGCGTRTTAGGACCCTCTCATCCAATTCCCACACGCAGATGCTGCTTAATATTCAGTTTTCAGACTCAGTGACCCTTCCAATATAACTTCTGACTGGTGGGGGATAGGCAACAGCTAAATATGCTGTGCTCATGCTGCTGCTTCATTTAATCCGTAATTTCATGTGAAGGTCTCCTATGATCTCCTTCCAGTTGCACTTCTACTGTAGAATCCACTTGGCACAACCAGCTCTGAGAAACATGAGATGGACCAAAGCGCCACGTCAGAGGTAGCAGGGAACTGCTGCAGTGTGATCAGCTCTTTCCTGCAGAAAAGAATTCCATCTTCTGAAAGGAAGCAAAGAGCTCTGGTTCCTGTTTCATGCAGGTCTAACGTTCTTAGAGTCTTTCAAGCAATGAATCAAGCCAGGAGAGTTAACACAGAAATACTGCTGTGTCTGTAGAACATTTGTACACCAATCTCTTCTTGTAGTCACTTGCCTTTGTTTGGCTCTCCTTAAACAAACTTCAGGTTCAGCTGAGAACGTGACCCTCTACCCATTCAGTGAGAATCTCTCTGAAACATTTCCATTCAAACTGGACTTTTAAATTCAGGGACATCCCTGGCACACATTTAATTGTCTGTCGTAATCTTGCTCCCTTAACTGGACATCAGTGTTGGAGTTTCTTGCTATAACGCTCTGGTTCCTTGTTCTCAGCTCCAGAGCACAGCAGACTCATGGTAAGCAACCTCTCCACTTGCTTTTTATGATGTCCTTCTTGTCCTGTGTCATGATTCTGTCATGTGTATTGTGCCACTGGAAAGCTCACTCATTCCCTTGTATTATATATACCTTTTATCTTTCATTTTCTTTGAAATCTCTCTTCCAGTGATTTCCTCCTCAGTAGTCCCTGCCCCAGTCTTCCTCCCCATGCCTTCACTTAGGGCAAAAGGATTTCCTAAGATACCTCCAAGCAATCAAAACAGCATCAGTCACCTAGTAAAGTGGAAAATTAAAAGGTAGAGCAATCCCTGTTTTCTTCAGTTAAAGTCACCAGCTCTCTCCTTACTGGCAGGCACATTAATGAGACTTCAGTTTCAACAGATTCAAGAGCTAAAGAGAAATTAGATCCATCCCCTGGGGGCTGATCAGAAGAGCAATGGAAAAGGAGCTGTAGAAAGAGCTGTGTATTAGTGACCCTGCTGTTGCCACCTCTTCCAGCGACCAATTTCTCCTTCTTGAGCCAACTCAGACCARGAGAGGAAGCAGGACTGCTGTTCTGACAAGCCAAATAAGCAAAATAAGGAGTCCTGCTTCCCACCCGTTTGTGCCTTTTGAGTCTGTACAGTGGCTGTTCACAGCCTGGGTTGGCACCTTAGTTCTACTGCCATTAAAAATGTTGAGGGGTTGGGAGAAGCACTGAGCAATACTGAATAAAAGCTAGACAAGGACCTTGAATGTCTAGGACAGACAGCTGTCTGTGAAGTGCCATGGAACAGTATGGATACGTTTATATTTAGTATGCTAGACTTTTAGCAAGGACCTTCTCTCACAATTCTTTGGAATAGCAGTGGTATAACTACATGGCAGGACCCAGAATCATTGCAGAGTTTTGCGTTCTACAAACCCACTGTTTTCGAATAAACTTGGTGTACGCAGACATTTTACAAGTTGTTACTTACCAAGATACCTCACAGTTGAGCTATACCCCGAGGACCTGACAGCTTGGCAGTCATGCAGATTACTACACCTACAGACTGTCAAAACACCATGAGCATTTCTGCAAAAGTATAGAGATACATTTAAAACTTTTTTCTTTCTTTTTTTTTTTTCCACATCTCTGTATGACAAGATGGTCATACATGTTGTGCAAGAAGTGACCATTCTGACCACCTAGAATCATCGTCCGTATTTCCAAACAAGGAATTAATCTTTTCTGATATGTAAGTGATAAAATAGCTGCCGGTGTGTGTGGCTGCAAGTCTTGTTTCACTCCACGTRTAGATAAACCTTGCTCATTGGAAAACAGATTTCTAAGAACTGTATGTAAAATACTTTGGGATTCAGAGCAAAGAACAATCTCCTACAGATCAGATTCATTTCCAGTTAATCATCTGTCACTATGCCGGGAGACAGCATGCATTCAGAATGAGAAATCTCAGTGTTTCAGAATCGGCCTCATTTATCTGGAATGAATGTTGATAAAAGCACAGAAAAAGAAGCCTCAAAATGATCTGTTTTCATTGTAATATTTGCTGATCCAAATGCTTTAATGATGCTTGTTCCTTACTCACTTACTTCTGCTTACATCWGCCCTTTATGTAACAGGAAAGAGCTCTGTGCGCTTTGTTGTTCAAATATCACTTTTTGGCTTTTGCTCCTTTTACAGGCTTTTTTCCTCCCTTTTCCTTTCCCTTTTCTTTTCCCTTTTCTTTTCCTTTTTTCCCCTTCTTTCCTGTTTTTATTAGTGTCTTAAGTGTCAGGAAAGGTCCAATCCCCTTCTGGGTCATCAACCCACGCCACAGTTTCCGGACCTGAAAAAGGGAGGAATAGTCTGGTTACCTTGAGGAAAAGGTAAAAGCAAACATGTGGAACAGTATTACTGATGGTTATTATTGGTGCAAAAGCCAGGCATATTGTGGTTTCCAAAAAAATCCTTTTTTTTTTTAATGTGTATATCCTTTTTAATGAGGCTATCTTGGATTCAGCTAGGATGAGTTCCAGCCACCTGCCTTTTTACTCTTTAGCTTCTTTCTCTGTGCTGTTTCTTCAAGGGAGATTCCTTATCAGAGAAGACACTAACACTGTTGTTCCAGACTCTTTTATTAGAATACTGAATGAATGTGTCTACACATCTAAAAATGACACTATTTAGTCCAGAGTTTCCAAAGAACAGTTTGGGAGAAACTCATTATTTCACAGAATAATCACAGACATTACAGAGGGCAGACTGAGAAGAATCAAAAACTGAGGGTTTGCCTTTTCTTTCTAACCTTGTATTTATTTTAAGCAAATTTAGTCCATGACCCACTAATGGTACAGACTGATCTTTTAGAAAAGAAAGGACACATGAACAAGAACAAAAACAGTACATTTTGTTCAATGTGCACCCTGGAACGCCAGCTCTGTGTAGGCAAACTGCAGTCAGCAAGAGTGCATGATGCCACCTGCAGCTAAGTGCATCTCTAAGTAAGGCCTTGATTTCGAGGCTCCGCTCGATGAACTGCTCCTTCCCACCGCACAAGGCCTAGAGAAGGCTCTGCAGCAAACTGCAAGCACTGTTCTGCTCACCACGTCACCTGGGGCACTTACAGCCTCCTGCTCAGTTTGTGACCGGGGCCCAGTGCTGCATTTCCTGAGAGCTCCCTACCTTAACACCATCAGTAATAGCCACCTGCTGCACAGGGGATGTGTGCAATGTTTTCAGATGTTTTTGGCGTTGCATAGAGTGCCCGGTAGATTGTTCCAGTAGATATCTGATTATTACAAGCTCAGTTCTGTCTTTATGTTGCAGTGACTTTTTTAACTCTTGTACCTTTAAGATCACTGCCTTTTTACGCCTTTTTTCCCGTAAGTATTCCAAGATGGGCAGCGTCCCCTGGCAGCACACTTCCATCGGAGGGTCACTCATGGGATTCCCATCCACAAGCACCAGCTCCAGCTGCTGCAACGTGTCCAGGTCATCGGGCAGGTGACTCAGCTGGTTGTTCTGCATGAGCAGCTTTTGCAGAGCTGGACACACAAAAAGCAGAGAGCTGCAGTGCAAAGAGCAGAACTGGTGCRGGACGCTTCTGTGTGCTCCCCATAAACCAGCATGTGTGCGAAGCCCAAACTGTTCAGCCTGTGCATGCAATGAGTGTGTGCACTGAATATTGCCCCAGAGCACTCTTTTAAAAGTAGCTGCTCCTAAAT